AAAGGTGGGGAGAAGAAGTTATTCCGACTCGCTAAGGCGAGAGAGAGGACAACTCGGGATCTGGACCAAGTGAGGTGCATAAAAGATGATGACGGCAAAGTTTTGATGGGAGATGACCAGATTAAGAGGAGGTGGCAGACCTACTTTCATAAACTTCTAAGTGAAGAAGGGGATCAGGATATTATACTTGGGGAATCGAGGAATGCCGACAATCACCATGAATTAAGTAATTGTAGGGACATTAGATTGATGAAGTCATGGAGGCAATGCATAAGATGAGAAGGGGCAGAGCTACCGGGCCAGACAAAATTTCGGTTGAACTATGGAGGTGTGTGGGTAGAGCAGGCTTGGAATGGCTTACTACATTGTTTGTTGTTATATTCAAGACTAATAGGATGCCTGAATAGTAGAGGTGGAGTACAATGGTCCCGTTGTATAAGAACAAAGGTGATATCCAGAGTTGTAACAACTATAGGGGCATCAAATTACTAAGTCATACCATGAAAGTTTGGGAGAGAGTGGTAGAAAAGAGAGTGCGAAGGAAGGTGTCCATTTCAGATAACCAGTTCGGGTTCATGCCGGGGAGATCTACCACAGAAGCTATCCACCTTATTAGGAGGATGGTGGAACAGTACAGGGATAGGAAGAAGGATATCTACATGGTGTTTATTGATCTGGAGAAAGCGTATGATAGGGTTCCTAGGGAGGTCTTATGGAGCTTCTTAGAGTATAAAGGGGTCCCGATTAACTATATTAGGGTGATTAAAGACATGTATGATGGAGCTAAGACTCGGGTTAGGACAGTAGGAGGCGACTCTGAACACTTTCCAGTTATTACGGGGTTGCACCAAGGGTCTGTGCTCAGCCCATTCCTATTTGCCCTGGTGATGGATACACTGACTCATCATATTCAAGGGGAGGTGCCATGGTGCATGCTAATGATGACATTATTCTAATTAACGAGACACGAGGCGGCATCAATGAGAGGCTAGAGATTTGGTGACATGCTCTTGAGTCTAAAGGTTTCAAGTTGAGTAGGACGAAGACGGAATACCTCGAGTGCAAATTTAGAGTTGAGCCGACGGAAGTGGGAGTTGAAGTGAGGCTTGACTCTCAAGTCATTCCCAAGAGGAGTAGCTTCAAGTACATTGGATCGGTTATTTAGGGGATCGGGGAGATTGATGAGGATGTCACACACTGTATAGGGGTGGGGTGGATGAAGTGGAGGTTAGCGTCAGGAGTCTTATGTGACAAGAAAGTGCCACCGTTACTAAAAGGTAAGTTTTATAGAGCAGTGGTTAGGACTGCCATGTTATATGAACTGAATGTTGGCCTGTAAAGAACTCACACGTCAAGAAGATGAAAGTAGAAGAGATGAGGATGTTGAGGTGGATGTGTGGGCATACAAGGATGGATAAGATTAGAAATGAAGATATTCGAGAGAAGGTGGGCGTGGCCCCCATGGAGGACAAGATGCGGGAAGTAAGACTCAGATGGTTCGGACACATTCAGAGGAGGAGCACTGATGCACCGGTGAGGAGGTGTGAGCGACTAGCTGTAGTGGGCATGCGGAGAGGTAGAGGGCGACCTAAGAAGTATTGGGGAGAGGTGATCAGACAGGACATGGCGCGACTTAGGATTACTGAGGACATGGCCCTTGACAGGGAATTATGGAGGTCGAGCATTAAGGTTGTAGGTTAGGGAAAAATTGTGAATATTTCTACAGCACAATAGAGTGAGACTAGCTAGTTAGGAGTTAGACAAAGAATGCCATTGGTCGTCTATTGATGCAGGGCTTTACCTGCTAGTTTTACTATACCAGACATCTATTTCGTATTTCGTATTCTGTATTTCATATCTCTTATATTGTTGTTATTTATTATGCATTTTTATGGTACTAATATATCGGCTCCTGTTGCTTTTTTTTTAGCCGAGGGTCTCCTGAAAATAGCCTCTCTACCCTTCGGGGTAGGGGTAACAGTTTGCGTACATATTACCCTCCCCAGACCCCACTTGTGGGATTATACTGGGTCGTTGTTGTTGTTGTTGTTGAAAGAGTTATGGAACAAATGGATAGGAAACTTGCATGCAAAATATGTGAAGGATAAAACAATTCAACAGGTTCTTAAGAATATTCCAAAGGGAGTAGACAAGAAAGAATGAGAGTGGTTATTAAAGGAACATTTTTCTTCAGAAAGTTTTCAGGTATGCCTAGTGATTTAATAATCTATTTCGCTAAAGCATCTGCACCCTGATTCCACTTCATCTGCTAGTCATCTTTTCAATTGAATGCTGCCTAGAGCTATAGACTGATTACTTTTGTGATTTAGTAACTTAAGTCAGTTCCTTCCATGGACTGTTCTCGATTTTGCCATGTGTTTGTTGCATCTTGGTCATATAGCTATTTTGCCAACAATTACATATCCGTGCTAAAACTCAGGTTGGTATGAAAATCAGTGGGAAAGAGTGATTTCATGCTGTAGGTTATAGACGGAGAGAAATATATTCATTGGAAGTTTTCTGACATAGCTCTCAACTCCTTTTGTAGAGACATATCTATTGAAAAATATACTCTAATAACATGTATGCAGCAAGGTTGTTAAATCTGACTTGAGCAGTTGAGTTTCTTGCTAGTACATCTGGAATAGCCTTGATTTATGGACCTTTGTACTGTATCTCTAGTGAACCTTACAGTTCCATCTCTAGTGAACCTTACAGTTTGGCATGACCTATCTCTGTGCTTTTGCCTTCATATTCCTAGAGGCCAAGTATTCTAAGTATATATTGTATGTTGGAACATTAAGTTTATTCTGAAGATTTTTAGAAGCTCAACTTATTATTTAAGTTTATTAAATTTCTTACATTTAATCTTAATGTTCACAAATATAGGCGAGAATCAACAAGAATGCGGCAAATCGAGCTAAGTTGAAGATGCTTCATCATATTGGTAGCAAGCCTATTTGTAAGATCATTTATCAAAAGGTATTATCATAAAATTTCTATTTTCCTAAGAAAAATATTTACGAGCTGTTATTTGACATGTTTGCCTTTGATGTAAAGGGCGGAAAAGATGGCAATCTACCGGATTTTGGCAACAATTTTCTTTGAGACCCGTAAGAAAGATAACAAGCTTGTTGAACTTGAAGCAATTGAAAACATGTATGTTTGGTAAATTGAATATGTAAATTACTTGAAATTATGATGGATTCTGATTTTAAATGTTCTTTTTATATATTTTGTAGGCTCAAATCGAAGAAATTGTTCAAGCAGATCCATCTCTACCTAGCATAGAGATTATAGAAAAATGTTGTGGACCTCAAACTCATAGCGATGTGTTTTTATTTGGGGGTGGAGTGAAGGCGGAAGACTTGAAAGGTGGAACTTCTTCAAAGTCTGAATTACTGTCCGCGCTACGTTCAACTCGAGAAGAAAACAAATCTTTGAATGAGGAAAACAATTCTTTGAATGAGGAAAACAAATCCTTGAATGAGCGCTTGTCTACCTTAGAAGATGAGATGAAAGAAATGAGGAAAATAAGAGAGTATTTCGCTGCTCAACAATCACATGTCCCGCTTACGACGACATCGCCCGTTTCAATTGAATGACCATTGTTTTTGTCTGCTGACCAAGTTAGTAACAATATACCCAACTTTTTAATTTTTATTCATGATTTGCGTATAGCCAATTTCTATATTACATATTTGTTTGACTTCACCCTTCTAAAAGGAGAATGATTTAATTAATGTACAATGGTGCAGTAAGTAGTCATAGCTTCCTATGGATTTCAATCTTTAAGAAAATCAAGAATGTGTGGTAGGAATTTGAGGAGTTGTTAGCTGGAAAATGGCAGAAGAATAAGGTTGTGGCAGGATGAATGGCTAGGACCTGGAAATCTATAGCTTGACCTATGACTACTGGACTAATATGTACCACTAACTATATCATTTTACTTCTTACAGTAAAGTCATTAGGGAGTGCACATATCTGCTCCCATGTACTTGATTTGACAAGAGCTTCATGCAAATATTTGCTTATATCTTGGTACTTTCATGCCATTTTTTGCTTACCCATACACCCAATGAGCTCTAAAACTGAAAGCAGTTACAAGGTAAAAATTGAATAATAACAACATAGCTAAGTACCTCCCATTGGAACATTCAGTAGACGATAAAAGCAGAGGATCTGA